GGAGGAAGGGAGATGTGGCTCTCATCGCGCAGGAGCTCCTGTCATTTTGGTCGGGGCATTCTGCAAGGCATTGGTTGCCGTCTTGGGCGGCAAACTTAGGCGTCTCAAAGCAGGACAGGGACTTCTTGGGGCGCTGGCAGGCCGGGGCACACGAGAGCAACGAATACATCGTCACTTCTCGAGAGGTTGTGCACCGTGTGCAGATGCATGTGGTCGAAGGGCTTGTGCAAGGGCATGCCGGGGTCGATGAGCTTCCCATCTTGAACGAGTTGCATGAATTTGGTAATCCACGGGGGGTGAGTTTCGCCCGCGGGGCAAGTCGCCATCGTGTCTGGAGGACAAATGACGACGGGCACCGTGCCCTCCTGCTAGGTTACCCTTTGGACTACGAGCTGGAGGACGAGGTCGGCGAAGGCGAGGCGGCCCTGGAGGTGACCGTGGAAGATGAGGACGCTCCGAAGAGAGATTGGTCCGAGTATCCTTATTGGGTCTCCATTTCCAGGAAGAGCCTTTTCCGTCGTCTGCATGCCAAAGACAAATGCGGGGTTTTGCCCTGGAATGTCTTTTCGGCTGAAGGGTTCACGAGTGTTTCAGAGGCTAATGCTGATGCTTGGTGCAAGAGCTGCTGGAAGAAGATTGCACAGGGAGAGGCGGAGGCTTCTAAAGAGGCCTCCTCCTCGGGTTCGTCCTCGAGTACAGAAATCGAGGATCCGGAGCAAGAGGAGCCGGAGCCTTGAAGCATGTTACGTCTTTGAAAGGGCCCACAAAAGACTGTTTGTGCACCTGCCCTCACTTCTTGCTGTCTTGTCCTCGGATTCAGGGCGGTGCTTGGTTCGGCGGTACGGCCTCACGTTTTGCTGTCTTGTCTTCGGATGAAGGGCGGTGCTTGGTTCTGCTGGAGGACCTCTCGTTCTGCTGTCATGTCCTCAGGACGTAGGGCGGTGCATGGTACGGGAATCATCACCACATGTGGAAGACCGGCTGAAAGATCGGGGTCGGAGGGTGCCGTAAGAGTGGCACCGTAGGAGCATGGCCGAGGATGCAGCGCGGCGAGCTTATGTGGCACAGCATGTAAGTGCTGACCTCGTGTATGTTTGGGAGGAGATGGGGGTCAGCCTGTTGCATCAGCGCGAGCTTGGCGAGCGATATCGTAGTGTTGCTTTGTTTTCTTCCATTGCGGACACGCGGGCTGATGCCCGGGCAACCCTGCGGAATGAAGTGACCGTGGGGGATAATGCAGATGGAAGCGCGGCCATTGCAGCCTTAGTGGCCGCATGGCAATCTTGCTATGACATGGCCGACCAGGAGCGGCGCTTGAAGGCTGAGGCACATGTGCTGGGCTTGCCTAAGCCTCTGCCCTCGAATGATCGGATGGGCATGCGGCATGCTTTAGAGGGTGTCGTAGGAGCATTGGAGGAGAAAGATGAGCCCAGCTCCACTTATCTTGCTCTCAAGCTAGAGGAAGTGGAGGCAGGCGAGCTACGTGCTGCTGTGCTCGATGAGGTGACAAGTGTTTCTGATGAAGTGAATGCTCAGTTTCAATCCTCGGTGGACTCATCAGGCCGTTTGCGGCTTGTCAAAGAGAGGAAGAAAGCCAAGCTCCCCTCGACTTCCGAGGAGCTTCGACAGAGGCTGCGATTGGAATGCCACGCGTTTCTCATGCTGGCAGCTCGCTTTCGCACTAAGCCTTGGTTCGTGGATCTTCGTGTGCAGGATTTCACTAAGCATGTGGATTATGTGCTGGGGGACAAGGTTTATCTTCTCCAGATGTCCCGGACAGATGGCTCATCAGGCACGCAAGCAGTGAATCCCTCGTGGACCCTACTTTTGAATTTCGAACATCGTCTTCGCAAAGAAGCTTACAAGAGGGCTTGTCGGGACAACAGGGACATTGCAACCACCTTGGGTGAGGTCAGGGCTGATGCTGCCTTGAAGGAGACCTACTTCGTGGGTCCATTGGCGCTTGAGTTGGCAAGTCGGGGGCCTTCGGCCTCAGCACCTCCGCCTCCGGCTAAGTGGGCCCGTTTGGAGGATCATGTGCCAGGCGCCGACAAGGGGAACAAGGGCCGTGACAACAAGGGGCGAGGCCGAGGGGGAAAGGGCTCTTTGAGGCTCGGCTTTCCTTCTTCGAAGGGGTTTGTCTTCAGCAACACTCCGGACGGTCGTCAGATTTGCTATGCTTTCAACAATGGCACCTGCAAGGGAGATT